CCAGGCTCTGGGGAGAGGGCATGGGAGAAGAACCTAGGCTAAGGATGGGGGATCCAGGTTGGTGTCCCCCGAAATTGGCTGGTCCTGGGTCACCTGCCCTAGAGCACCCTTGCTGCCTTGCCTGGGGATCTCCTCTCCTGCCCTTACCCTACCTGCCTTCCCCTCCCCTTGCCAGCAGCAGCTCCTCTGACTGGTGAGGGTGTGACCTACAGCTGCAGCAAGGGGAGGGGCTGCTGGTAAGGGAACCTGGCCTTGTTCCTTCCCTGCATGGTAATGGACTTCCAGTGGAGGGAGGAGCACTGCCAAGCTGCCTTTGTCCAGGGTTCTGGCAGCTCCTCGGCCTTACCCTGGGGCCGCCGACCTCTGGGGCTGTGGGTTCTGCACGTGCCAGTACTCAGCGACCCTGGCCTGTGTGCAGATTATGCAGATGCTCCACTGGAGAAGCCTCTGAAGCTGGTGCTCAAGGTGGGCGGGAGCGAGGTGACCGAGCTCTCGGGCTCAGGCCATGACTCCAGCTACTACGAGGACCGGTCAGATCATGAGCGGGAGAGACACAGAGAGAAGAAGAAGAAAAAGAAGAAGAAGTCAGAGAAGGAGAAGCATCCAGATGACGAGGAGAGGAGAAAGCGGAAGGTGGGGTCATGGCTGGGACTGCTGTGGGGCTGCAGGAGCTGCAGACCACAGGCCAGTGGCTTGCTGTGGGCACCTGGTGCTGGTCCTTAGCTGCTCTGTAGCAGGGTCTCGGGAGGAGTGTCCCCTGGACTGAGGCAGAGGCATGCGTCTCCTGCTTAGGCGGGGCGAGACGCAGTGCAGCTGTCACTCTGCCTGCCTCACAGGAGGAGAAGAAGCGGAAGAGGGAGAAGGAGCACTGTGACACAGAGGGAGAGGCAGATGACTTCGACCCTGGAAAGAAGGTGGAGGTGGAGCCACCCCCAGATCGGCCGGTGCGAGCTTGCCGGACACAGCCAGGCAAGATACGGGTGGCTCTTGTTCAGGGAGCCTCTGGGGAGAGGCTGGTGCTCTCCTGAGCCCATGCCAGCGTGCCCTGGACCCGGGGTTCCCACCCTCATCCAGATCAGTTGGCCACTTACTGCTTGTGGCCTTTAAAAACCCTTTAACCCACAAGCTAAGCGTGAGTTATTCACTTTTAAACACTCACGAAAAGAAAAAGGCAGGTGCCTCTGAGACCTGAGGTGTATGACTTCACCACTAGATCGTTTTATCTGGCCTTCACAGAAATATCTGGCCAACTTTGAGTCTAAAAGTTTGCTTTTATCTGCCTTGTTGCTCCAGATGGAGCAGTGTCAGGTGAGTGACCCAAGTTGCTCTCGCTCTAGACATGGGCAGGTCAGTGGAAGTGGGTAGCCCCTGGGAGACAGTACCTAGGTGAGTCTGACTCCCTTCAGATGGCTGCAGCTGAAGTGAAGGAGGCTGGGCTGTGTGCCAGGGCCGGTGTCTGCCTCGAGTTCCCAGCTCATGGTCTTCCCTTTGACCTGCATCCCCAGATGTCCTTCAGAAGTTGGCATCCTGTGCTTCCCAGACAGCTGGGAAACTGAGGCAGCTGGCTGGGACATTAGGGACATGACACAGAGGCTATTGCTGGGTTTTTCAGACCATTAGGAGCCATGTGGTATGGCTGCCCAGAGGCTAGTTCTGCAGAGCTTGTGACTCCCCTGTGCGGCTGTCTCGGGGTCTTTTTCCTTGGCCTCCTCCTTCATGCCTATGAAGCAGCAGGCCTGAGAGATGTCACTGCCTGTGGTAGGGCCTGCAGCCAGCGCAGCCCCAAGGTGCCGCCGGGGTTAGTGATGGGTGCTATGTGGTGCACCCTGTTC